TAATCCAATATATTCACAACATTATTATTACAATATGAGAGCAATATATTAACGAAGTTTTTTGTTGCTAAATCTTTCAAAGTCACTGTGTAGTTTAAGCTCTCAGCACATCCCAATTTAGATAGGACATTTTGTTATGCTCCGGCTCGATCTTGCTAAAGGCTTTCAATACTCCCCCTTCAAGACAAGAAGCTCAGCTGAAAGAGTTCATTAATAATTGCAAAACCTCAGCTTCCCCTTGTAAGGAACCAACACTTACCCGGTGTTGGCTCTTGTCAAATTCGGCTTACATTAAGGATTCCTCCTCCCCTATCAAAAGTCCTTCCCTTATAAAAGGTTTCCACCCCTGCTTGTAGGGGTTGAGAGACTTTGAGGAGTGAGCCCGCTCTTAGCCGGGCAGGTCAATAAAGGACCCTTGCTTAATTTGGACTGCGTGCTAGTGTTTCTCTATTCTGCTCGCTTTGGATATAACAATTTGGATGCACTCATCTGGTTTTTCCACTTTTATTTATATTAAGAACGATCAATGGGCCCATGGAAATGTCTGCCTTTTCCTTTCATATAATTGTTAAGCATTTATTGATTAGTATTTGCCTAATTTCACTTATTTCACTGACGGTTACAAAAGAGGAGTTTTCTAATTTTATTATCTTCTCTGCATGTAGTAGAACTCATTCTCCTATTAAGAATTGCATTTTCTCTTAATATTTTTAATTTTTCAGTTGTTTGTGGCCAACATATACATAAAAAGATGATTGATTTTTGTATAATCACTATTAGTTTCTTATTGCTGCTGTAGCTGATTACCACAGATTTAGTGGCTTAAAACAAATGTTTACCCTCTTACACTTTAGGAAGTCAGAAGTATAAAATGGGTCAACAGTTTGCTTGCTTGCTTGCTTGCTTTGGAAAGCCACATTTCTTTCTTTCCTCACTCTCTTCAGCTCTCTCCTTCCCTCCTTCTAAAAGATAAACTTATACTTTAATATCTAAATAAATAAATAAAATGAGTCAGCAGGACTATGTCCCTTAGTATAATCACATCTGCAAAGTCTTTTTTTGCCCTGTAAGGTACACATTCATTAGTTCCAGCAGTTAGGAAATGTATGTATTTGGGGAGCCATTATTCTATCTACCATAATGACTGTATATTTTACAAACTTCATAACTAATTTTTTACTTCTGAAAGAAAGAAACTCAGCGCCCATAGCTCAGCAGTTAGGGTGTCAGCCACATGCACTGGAGGCAGTGGGTTGGAACTGGCCAGAGCCTGCTAAGCAACAGTGACAACTACAATTAAAAAAAAAAAAAAAAAGCTGGGGGTTGTGGCGGGGGGTTTAGTCCCAGATACTCAGAAGGCTGAGGCAAGAGAATCGCTTAAGCCCAAGAGTTTGAGATTGCTGTGAGCTGTGACACCACAGCACTCTACCAAGGATGACATAGTGAGACTGTCTCAAAAAAAAATTGCATTTTCTAATGAGTCTTCATTACATTAAAAGCTAGCCTATAAGAAAAGGAAAAATAAAAGCTTGATTTTTTTATTATATTAATTGTCATATAATGATGTGGCCCCAGGAAACAAAGAAAACACAAATAATATTTTTCCTAATATTATTTTTTGTGTATTTAATGGGATCTTATACACTGCTATGTATATTTATTTTTGAGATCAAATTGTCTCAGTTCAGGTCATTGAAAGCCTCTTCACATTGCCTCCCCTTTCTTTAATGCCATGGGACCATATGTTTTGAGATTGTCTTGTTTTCTGGAGCAAACACATGTATGCTTCCCTTTGTCTTTTATGCAAGTTGCAAATAGATGTCCCATTCAGCATTTTTCTTTTTACTTACAGTGCTTCCTGAAAGCATATGTAGTGAAAATAAGATGAAGTCTGTCTGTCTAGGGCAAACATGAAACAGCTGGTCTGGTCTGTTTAGGTCCTGCCTGCCCTTAACCCCTTGTCTCCCATTCTTACTGTTTTGTAAAGTTAACTCCCACCCAAAAGATGCCTATCTTGAGTAGTCTAGACACATTAATTTAGGAGATTAACTTATGAATTGAAATATTATCTATGGGTCATGCGTTCTGCCAGTTTTGTATAAGTGTTAACACTGTCTTCACTTTGAACTCAAATGTATAAAACTATAATTTTGGAAATGGAAGAGCAGAACAGTGGAGAGGCTACTCTCACTGTTCTCCAGAATCCCAGCCTTCTGATAAAGTTTGGTGGACCTATACCCGACTCTGCATATTGGCTGACAGTGACGTCCCTCTTCATCTGCTAATATTCCTACCATGCACAATATTCTGGTTTTATATAAGAATAGATCAATCTTTTATTAGCATGTCTTGGTTTGACTCACAGATTTATTCTCACAGCTTGCAGAAAATTTTACCAATATTTTCCACTATTTGTGTTTTCAGCTTTTTACCATTTACCTTTCTCCCTTATTTGTCCTGTACCTTACACTAGCATGTGAAGAATGAATTCATTTTCATAACCAGTTCTCAAACACCAAGTATTTATAAAGGCTTCTCCTCTGTAGTTTTTATTGCATAACTTATTTTATGCACTTAGGTAGATTTCTGGATTTTCTACTTTTCTGCTCTGTTTGCTATTGTTGTATTAATATCACACTGGGCTTTTGGGGGGAAGTGAAGTGTTGTTTGTTTGGGGGTGTTGAAACAGAATCTCACTCTAGCTAGGCTAGAGTGCTATGACATCAGCCTAGCTCACAAGCACCTTAGACTCCTGAACTCCAGTGATCCTCATGCCTCAGCCTCCCAAATAGCTGGGACTAGGAACCCCCCAACCAGGCCCAGTTAATTTTTCTATTTTCAGTAGTCTTGCTCTTGCTGCAGCTGGTCTCCAACTCCTGAGCTCAAGGAGTCCTCCTGCCTGGACCTCCCAAAGTGCTGGGATTACAGGTGTGAACCACTGCCCACAGCCTATGCCACACTGTTTTAATTATAGAATGTTTTAATGCGTTTCAGTTTTGAGTAAGACCAAAAAACTTCATTGTGTTTCTTTCCCAGGGAGTTTGACTATTTCTTTTTCTTCTTATTTTTTTGAGTTTGACTATTTTATGTTTGTTTTCCCATGCGGATTTTGCAAAATCATTGCTAGCTGAGAGAATCTATTATGAGACCAATGAAATGTTGAAATTGGCTTAAGGATAAATGACTTTTTTACATTATTTAGATCTGGGGGGCAAGAACAAGATGTAAGGTTTGTTTGTTGTTTTTGTTGTTTTGCTCGTTTGTTTTGATTTTGAGACAGAATCTCATTTTGTGGACATAGGTAGAGTGTAGTGGTGTCATAGCTCACAGCAACCTCAAACTCTTGGGCTCTAGCAATTCTCTTGCCTCAGCCTCCCCAAAAGATGCGACTAAAGGTGGCCGCCACAACACCTGGCTATTTTTAGAGACTCCCGGTGTCTCTATGTCAGGCTGGTGGATATAAGTTTAAAAACAAAGTTAAATGCAAATGTCCCCCAAGCCGCGCCAGGTTGAAGATGCTGCAGTGGATTTATCTCATTACCTGGTAACTCTGGGGTCTAAAGGGCGTGGCCTCGAGCTTCATCCAATCAATAGCGCTCAGTTGCAAACTGTCCAATCAAAGGCCGCAGAGGAAACAGAGGGCGGGCTTTCCACAGTCTCTCCGGCCTCTGTCTGTTACCCGGCTGAGGTGCGATCCGCGATCACTGCTCTTTCTCTCTGTGGGAGCCCAGATGACTGGCACTGTCTCTTTTACCCTGTGAGCCTGCAGGCACTGGGAGGTCGGTAGGGAGGATGCTGGGACACTGTGAGAGAAGAAATGGTGAGTGTGAGCGCCGGTGTCCCCGGACAGGGCTGATTGGAACCAGCTGGAACGCGCTGTATTGGGATGGGACATGGGCCGCTCTGGGGACTGGGGTCTGTGGACACATGTGGGCGCTGACGCAAGTCGGCCCTCAGTCTTCTCTGGCCCAGAGCCTTCTCAGGGCAGCTCAGTCCCTGCCAGCCCTGAATCTCTCCGATATTGTGCGGGAACAAAGGGAAGCTCCTCAGAGAAGAATCCCCATGCAGTGTGTGGGGTTCCTACGTGGGAGGAGCTGTGAGCTGTGGGGTGCTCTGTCCCCTTTCTCCAGTTAAAGATTAAACTCAGGCAGTTAAAACAGATATTCATAAATGGGAGGCCCCCAGCCATGGTTTGTGGTTGGAGATTCTCCAGAGGGGCTTGAAGGCAAGGCTTTTATGCTTTATAGGGTGCAGGGGGAAGCACACCAAACTAAATAATTGATTGGGTACTGAAAGGGGCTGTGTACCCAGAGACCAGACCAGAAGAGGTTCGTGCCAAGTTTAATAACAGGGGACTGAGACCCTCCTGGGCAAAGCTGACGGCTGCACCAGAGTTCTTGGAAGCTTGTTTTTAATGCTGGGTTAGGGGGAGGGAGATTTCACAGGTGGCTGGAAGGCTTTAGAGGTCTGGCGTGGTTCCTTCTGGGGAAACTTTTGGAGCATGGCCAGGTGAGGGAAGGTTTTAGGCTGGCCTGTCC